GAACAGAAAGACCGCGCAATAACGTCATTAAGAAATTAATGTATTAATTCACGGTTCTTATAAAAAAAAAACGAGAAAAACGCTTCATATGTATTAAATATGTATGAAGCACGGAGCAACATAATACGCTATATGTATACATATATACATATGTGTGTGTATGTGTATGTGTGTATGATAAACTTTTTCATACTTTTGTAGGACATTGTTGTATCGAGGGACAGAGGGGCTTTGCCACCTAACCCATTTTGACCCGTTCTGCGACCGCGTGAAAACGCGTTCCAATTTCAGTAACGACGATTTACGGCTGACGTGCCCACCGTGACTATCGTCGAAATTTCGAGCAGGCTCGCTCGCAAACTTCCTAATCGCGCATCGCGGCAGGTCGAACATCTATGCGGGAGATCGATGGAGCGCTCACACTTTGTTTTGTATAGCGCAGGAATAAGACAGCTGTCTAAAACTTTCTTCATAAATTGAGAGAACGCCAGGAATTCAGGACGCATGATAGACGTGTCAGTAACAGACGATTGGCGCACACGGTCGCACCAAAATCTAATCGTTAACGCGTAATCTCATACAGCTGCGTATTCTTTTCTTTCCTCATACATTTCCGATCACCGACGTGACCGAAGTAATAAACGTATCTATGTTTCTAAGTAATAAACCTTTCGTAGGGAAAGCAAAACGAGACGCAGGTGCTCAAGACCGTCTTCGTGACAAGCTCTACGATAAAAGCATGTGGAGCGGTATCGGTCTCGCGGGTCGAAGCGGTGGTATCCGCTTTCAACGGACCCCATCAAACGCGCGATAAAACCGCTTCTCACCTAGGCTTTTGACTTCGAAAAGACACGACACCGATTCGGCGATACCGAACCCCGGATCCGCGCGGATGGATCAGAAGTTCGAAAGTGCAGCAAGGCGATATTATATAAACGGATGAGAGACAGAGAAAGAGAGAAAAAGTGTGTGAAAGAAAAAGAGCTCTTGTGCTCTCAAGATCAGCGCACGTCGGAGGAATATGTAGCACGCGGTATTCGATATTCTTTAGACCCACCCAGTGATCCCCATTCAACCTATTCTTACAATGTGTATGCTGGATTTAGCTCGTGGAGATAGATATTCCTAACATTCGTTGAAACGGCCGGCTTTACGGCAGCTTTCGCGCTGAAAGCTCACTCGCATACGGCTGTGCCTTCCTTCGGTCCTGCTTCCATTCCTATCTCTTCGGCATCCTTTTCGACCTCGCCCAAACATTCGTGCGCAGGTATGCACTCCTATCTCCTTCATTCCGTGCGTGGTTTCCTTCTTTGTCTCTTTACCAAGCTGGCAAAACCGAACCGTTTCTTGGCCGGCTATCGGCCATCTTTTTTCTCTCCTCCTGCTTCTTACCTTTCTTTCGCCTTTCCTCCTTCTCACAAAATCGTCATCGACCTTCTCCGTCGTCGCTTTTTCTCTTTGCGCGATCTTTTGCACCTTTTCTTTCTTCTCTTTTGCAGTTTATTGCTTCCGCGCCTCTTGGCTCCGTGCCGTCTCATCCACCCACACCCCAATCAACAAATAGGGAATCAGATATAAGAATAGCTAGGAGTCGCAAACTTGTCAACTTGACAAAAGAACGAAAATAATACGAACGTCTCGCATCGCTATCTAATTGTAAGAATGAAATATCGATTGGCATGATACGGCGATACCCTCGCTTCTACGATTGTTTGCAAAATAGTCCCTTATGGACCAATTTATTCGTATTAGCATATTGCCATGATAAAATCTCCATATGAAATACCTTTCGAATAACCACGCGTAGCGAAATTTGTATATTTTATATTAATGTATGAAAATTCAGTGACCATACTTTAACAAAAGCCCCGCTGTGGTTTAAAGTATGAATATCTCTTGTATGATCGCCGCGCTCTTTAATTATCGGATATCGAAGCATTGAAATCATATGAAAATAAATCTTAGGAGGGGCTACGGCCACGTTATTTACGATACATTCGTTCGCATACAGCGTACAATTTTTCCGAGTTTATATATATATATATATATGTATATATGTATACAAATATATACATATATATATGTGTGTGTTTCCATGTAGAAATAAGAATCACGGTGTGTACGAATTGTACGACGACTTTTCTCTACACTAAATCAAATCACGTTTCCCGTATTTCCTCAGCGGACACCGAGATAAAGATGTCTGCCAGACTTCGTGCACGGAAAGAAGAGCATTGTTTTAATCTCGTTGACCTCTTACTGATAAGATCTTAATAATACATAATCGAACGACGGCGGTATAATTATCCATCCACTTCCGACAATAATTAAATGAAGCTTGAGAAATGCTGATACGCGCATTTTGTTAATGCAATCTGCAATTTGTGCCTGTTAAGAAACTGTTGAATACTTTGTGAGATATCTTGCAGTTATTTTCATGAGAAAGTAATTATCGAGGTTAAAAGCAGAAACCAATATTTTCTGTAATCCTGATTTTCAAAGTAATGTTGACGTAATTAATGTAATTCACCGTAAGTAAAAAGTATCACATCAAGATACACAGTATCCAACATATTTGATTAATTACATTTGATTTGATGTTGATTAATTATTTATTACTTTTTTATTATTACATAACATCATTACAGTTTCAGATTGGATTCTCTACATTCACACGCAAATAAGCCACACGTTTTGCCTGATTCAGCTAATGCCCCTCGTTTTCCGACGTTTCTTTTTCGTAAACGTGTACGTATTAATACATACAATATACATATGTATGTGTCTATACAGGTTGTTCATCGTAACGATCCGCACAATTTTTGTGACAATTAAAAAAAAATTGTAACAAAATATCTATTTTTTTCAGTTATAACTTGTAATCTAAAAAAAAAATTTTTTGTTATAAAAAACAATTATTTTGATTTTTTAACATCATACAATTTTTTTAATAATATTGCAAGAAACATTTTAAAACGAATTCAACGCAAATGCTAATTTTCTTTATAACAAGAAAGATTGTAATTTATATAAGCAAATATTTAAATTGCATGTCTTCTACAATACAAAGTTCTGCTCTTTATTTATGTTTAACAGAGCTATGATAATATATTTGGATTTAAAGCTGCATAACATGTAATTATCCTTCCTCGAAGATTTTTAATATTATTAATTGGTGTTTAATATGTTGTTGTATTTATTTTAAGTAATGTTGCAAATATATTAAATATCAATAAAAGTGGCATTTCTGGTAATACATTTAATTTGTCTTACGCCCGTTTTCACCAACGTCGTTTAATTTGGACCTTAATTCAATTCACTCTTTGTCTGTTTTTAAGGAAGACTGTTAGAAAGAGACAAAGAGTGAATTGAATTAAGGTTCAAGTTAAACAACGTTGGTGAAAATGGGCATTAATGTCCTTTACAATATTGTAAAAAAATCATATAATAGGTACTATTTAAAAAAGTTCAAATAATTTCGAATTTCTCACGAAGAAAGAAAAATTTTTAATTTGTTAGGCTGTTGCAAGTTGTAGCTTGCGTGTGAAACAGAGAAACGTTTTCTTTACAATCCTCTTTTGAGACTGTCCCAAGTGTCTCAAAAATTGCGCAGACCGATGAGCACGAAGTAAATATGTGTATATATATAATAAGTGTATATATTATGTGTACTATATGTATATACGTATACACATATCGATGTACATATCGCGTGAACGTAGTTGTACTGCTTCGAGCCGAGTCTTGTACAATGCTCCTAGGTTCCTACGTAGACCAGTGAGTATTGGAGAGGCATCGCAATGCCTGGAATGTTTAATACCGGCGCAACGACACGGCACGGAGAAATGGTCGGCTTCAACCGCGGAATAAATCTCATGGTATCATACCCACCCGCTGCCATTTCTTGTCTGCCACGTGCTCCACGAGAAATTTTTCAGAGGCGGAAACGCTTATTGCATTTCTATACATAGCACCGCCTGACGTGGCGGCGCGCGAGAAACTTCGCGCAAGACACTTATAGCTTAAGATACCAAGTTCATTTGCCAGAAAAATTCACCATCCGTTTTGTCTTCGTTGCGGAAGTATATATCGTAAGCTATAATCGAAACGCCCTTTATGTATTCTGACTTTTATATAAAATAATAAACTTCCTAAAGCTTGCTGCACGCGATGACTTTTTCCTTCTCTGTGGGAAGGCGTTCTTTGCGCGCTGACAACTTATTAAAATGCACTCATCACATTCAAGAATGACAATGTAGCCAAAATATGATATTATGCACGTTGATTTAGCCTAGTTTGGTCAAATGTTAATATTAGCCTTGTCAAGAAAAAGAAATGTTTTCTTTAGTCGCGGCAAGTAAAACATCCCGTTAATTACGCGCTCTTGCTTATCCCTAACCAAACACGAAGTGCATCCTTTGTTTTCTTTCTTTTAGTCTTTTCTGCGATTTCTATCGACTGTCGACCTTAATGGTCTTGTCGTGCGGGACACACGTGATGCTTATTGGAATTATTTAATGGCCGATTGCCGAGAGTGGACTCCGACGATGGTAGAACATTCGTTAGACTTTCATTAGAGCCGTAAGATCGAACGCGTCAGGGCGATTCGCTTTGAAAGAGCTCGGCTACCCGCGCGCTTGAATGTTGTTGCAGCTGTACTTGGCCACTGGCCATTGCTGAAAAGCGATTTATCGGCTCAACATCGTAGGGACGGAAGCGCGATAGCAAAAGGTGATGGCTCCTCTAATACGAAATTGCATGCATTGCGGACGCGATAAAATAGAAATATATTCAAAGCCTTCCGATATGTTCTACGGAATAAAATTAGAATAAAATCTAAGTTTGCCAATTTGAATTTTTAAAGTCAATTTAATAAATATGCACAAATTCAGCATCATTATTATTTGATTCGTTCTTTCTTATTCTTAATTTGTTTATAAGTAATTTACTTAAACGATATTGTATACAAACGCAATGACTGTACATATAGCATCGTGAATAAAAGATAAAGAGAGTAATATCAAATCTAGTTATTTTTAATTAACTTCCGTACGACTGATAATTACGGAAGAAGATTTTTTCCTAATAGTGAAAAAAAAAGAAGTTTGAAAGAATTCAATTTCCGTACAATTAAAAAAGATTTTCTCAGTGCGTAGGATACGCTCGTTCCCGATATTCCGAATAATTGCGAGCGTTGCACGATATTTTCGTTATCTGCGCGATAATACTGTTCGTATATTTCGACCGTAGAAATGGCCCGCCGCTTATAAACTTGGGCTGAGCGGCAGCTCTACCCTTAGCCTTAACATAAGGATCGCCCGTGTACTCTGGAAACTTGCTGAAGCAACCATCGTGACTTCCGCCGGGTTTCTTGGGGAAAGGGATGTAGAATCGCGCCGTACCGAGTGTCTTCCTCGCAATCTCGACCGGACGGACATAAGTGGGCCCTGGTTCCTCATCCCCGTAAGGATTGGGGGGGAAATAATCCAACGGCGCACTAGTCGTCAAGAATCGGCCTTCAGACACCACTTCTGTTCCACCCAAATTGATGATTTACATTTAGAATATAAATGAAACAAAAAAGGAAAGAACTGTAAGCGCGACAGTTAGAAAAGCGCGAATATTTTACTAAACGCATAAAACTGTTCGAAAATTAACACGCGCATAATTTGCATAGATTTATTAAAAATCTTCCGTAAGAATCTTTGTACATAAGGTTAAATTGAGAGAAATTTCCAATTCTACAGAGAATCTACAAGAAGCTTTTAACGCGATGGCCTCCTAAGAAATTCCCTGTGAGAAGAATTTCAAACATTTATGATACTAATTGAGATTTTATTTAATTGCTACCGAACGCTTTTTCCAAGGTATTTTACGTAAGAGTTAAAAATGCGTTTCCCTCAAAAGCCAGCGTAATTCTTTTTTACGATAAAACTATAATTAATTACGTGCTACCATGTAAAACAAAGGAAGTGTTCTGAAAAAAATCCAATCTACGTTTATGTTCCAGTCCCTCATTATTATTTTTTTACTGTAATTGGGGGAATTCTCATGTTACGTTGTACAATATACGTACATTATATACGTATACATATATGTAAGATAATTAAAAAAAAGTTAAAAAAAACGATAAAATTTTATCAAATAATTTTAATTGGCAATTTTATTGGCTGTATATAAAAATTGACAGAAACATTTCATGTTGTTACTAAATAAACACATTCGCTGCCGTTTTATATATATATATATATATATATATATATATATATATATATATATAT